TTACAAGGACGCCTGGGACAGTGGGCCGCGCTACTTTCACCCTGGATGCTCGAGATCGTCAAGTGTAACAAAGGTGAGGACGAGATCCTGGGCACATTAGCAGCCAGTATCACACCCAGATCCGAAGTCGACAAAGCACTGATCTCGATCGCCCCGAAGAAGGAGCCGAGGCGCAAGATCCAGGCCCCGATCTGAGATCGGATGAGGATCTGTATGTTGCTAGCTTCGACGGATCCGCCCGTGTCAAGCGAGGGGGAGGTGCCTACAGCGCGATCATGTGGAAATTGCCAGAGCGGACTGTTGTGAAGGCCAGATCCGGCTATGCCGAGGGTCTGACTGTCAATGAAGCTGAATATAACGGCCTCTTGTTACGTTTTGATTTGCTGGAAGGAACGGATCCGTTGCGGTTGGTGATCTGTGGCGACTCAAACTTGGTGATCCGCCAAGTTAGGGGTGAAATCGATTGCAAGGCACCTGGATTGACATTATTAAGGCAAAAGGCGTTGGACAGATTGCGGATCCGGCCGGATCACGAATTGGTACATGTGAAACGGGACTGGAATGGAAGTGCAGATAGTCTGGCTACGCATTGCAACGGCAGTGCGGAATCGAAGTCGAAACTGATAGCGAAATTCAGGATCTGATCACCTTGAATAGACTGGATGAGATCTTGGTGGTGAAATCTGAAGATCCGGTAATGCAGATCTCGTCCGTTACCACTAGATCAAAGGCCAGATCCGGTGTGAGATCGGGATCCAATCCCCCGGTAATGTGCGAAGAAGTGATCAGAGAGCTCAGGATCGAGCGGATCCGGCAGGCACAGGATGAGGAGGCGTGGATCCACAATTTGAAGTAGTATCTGGTTGGCGAAATACGCGATCTGACACAGAAAGAGGCCAGATCCTGCGGATCCATCGCTATGAATTATGAAGTGGATCAACATGATCTCCTGTTCTACTGTCCCACTACGAAGGAATCAGCTGCGGATCGGGACAAATTGATGCGACCATTGTTACCTGAAACGCATCAAGATGTCCTGCATCATTATCACACCAGTCTCCAAGGTGGACATCAAGGGATCGGTCGTACCTACGATCGGATCCGGGATCATTTTCACTGGAGAGGGCTGTACCGAAGTGTTCAAAGGTATGTCGGTGAATGTGTGGATTGTGAGACTGGAAAGGACGACCCCGGATCCAGGGCGAATCGCCGGGTAATCTTCAAGCGACTTACCCATTCCAGATCATCGCCATGGACCACATCCCCTCATTGCCCAGATCCTACAAGGGTAACACGGAGCTGCTGATCTTCAAAGATCTCTTCTCCGGATATGTGATTGCTAAGGCGAGCGGATCCAGGACAGCTCAGACCGTGGCAGAATCCTATGA